GGAACACAAATTGTCAATAATTTTGGTGCAGGCTTTTGGTAAGATAGCTCCCCTAATCCATTTAAAAAATATGTTAGTGATGGAGAACCTGAGGAATTGTAATCTACCTAAAAAAGAAAGAAATTTTACTTTCCAACTATCAAGTAGAGTAGCAATTTTACTCAGTAGTGGTTTGAAGTGAGTAGAAATCAAATTTTTGGTGGATATGGGAATGCCTAGATATTTTAGATAAGATTCAATCTGGGAGAAGCCAAGAGAAGAACTAATATCAATAACAACAACATAATTCTGAGAGAAAAGGATGTAACATTTTCTATTATTTATGTGAAACCTATAAACAGCCGTAAAGGAAGAAAGAGTTTCTTTTAAGCACAGAGCATTAGCAGTGGAAGCTACCCCAAACACTAAAACATCATCCGCATACAGAATATGGATTAAATTCATAATCCTCAAAAACTTGCTGGCCTTTAAATCATAGGAATAGGCATCTATCACAATGGTGAAAAATAGGGGGGAGAGAGGGCAACATTGCCTCAGACCCGAGGAGGATAAAAAATACCCTTCAAGAACACCGTTAATGCATAAAGAAAAGGAAACATAAAAAATGCAGCCTTTAATCCAATTAATAAACTTAGGGTGAAAGCCTTTTAAATGCAACCTTACGATAAGGAAATCCCACAAAACCATATCAAAGGCCTTTCTAATATCCAATTTGGCACAAAAGAAGATGTTACTAGCCATTACATTGAATTCCTTCAGCAATTCAGAGGAAAGAATGACATTATTAGAAAAAAATATATTGTTAATGAAACCTGTTTGACTTCTAGATATGAGGCAAAATACCCTTCAAACGATTAGCTAAGAGCTTAGTAATGATATAATAAAACACATTACATAAAGATATGTGTCAGAAGTCAGTAATATTTTTGGCGTGAGAGCATTTAGGAATTAAAGCTATGGCAGTAGCTTTAGCACGCCTGGGAAGGTGTCCCCGGTTAACAAAAGTCTTAACAGCATTGTAAACATGAAGACCGATGTTATCCCACAAAGATTTATAAAATTCAAAAGTAAAACCATCAGGACCAGACATGGAAGACATCAAACCTCCAAAAACCACAGCTTTAATATCTGAATCAGAAAAAGGAGCAATAAGATAATCTATGAGGTAGGAAGGGATAGAGTTTCCACTATGAAGATCAACCAGGTGGTCCAAAACTAATTTAGGAGAGTTGTAGATATTTTTAAGTATTCAATAGCAGCAAGAACAATGTCATCATGTGAAGTGAAGTGACCCTCACTAGTATTAAGCTAAATAATTATACTGGAATTATTATGGGATTTAATCCTGGCATATAAAAAGCCCAGGTCATCTTCCCCAGAGGAGAGCCATTTGGCTTTGGCCGCTGAATAATCCAGCTACTCCATGCAGCCTGGAGAAAAGGAAGAGAGGAGTTAATACTTTTTAAGGTCTCATTGAGGTTTGAGTCAAGCAGGTTACTATGAAGCATAAGCAGATAATTCCTCTGGCGGCTATGAAGCTCTGTAATTCTGGAGGAAATGAAGTTAAAAGAAGATCAATCCTGACTCTTAATGAAATTCTTACGGTGTTGGAGCCTAGGGTTAAAAACTTTAATAGAACTCCCATTAAAACTAGCACAGAAAGTAATAATGACTCCATCCAAAAAATTTTCAAGGTTGGTCCAATAGTTTTTAAAAATAAATATGTGATATTTATGGGAGGGGTCTCAAAGAAAAGAAGAAGCGGTGAGTGGTCAGAGTAGTGGGGCGGTTCCACCTTATAGGAGGAAGGAAAATTATCAAACCAAAGATGGTTGACAAACATTCTTTCTAATTTAACGTGTATAGGATTATTAATCCTCTGGTTGAACCATGTGTAAAACAAACAAGTAGAGGCTAAATCCAGCATACCTGATATAAACACCCAATTATTCAATTCAACAAACCTGCTGAAATAAATAGGGTTTCCTCCATATTTATCTTTCGCCTCTCAACAACAGTTAAAATACCCATGATAATCCAAGGTGAAGAAATAGAGTAAGCCAATCTAGTTAACAACTGCCAAAGCGGAGCACAATTCGAAGGAGAATTGGTCGCATAGACAACAGTCAAGAGAAAGGGAGGCAGAGCGCCAGTGGACAAAGTTCCATGAATCAGTTGAGGGTGAGCAATAATAGGGGTGAAGGAGAAAACAGCCAAATTCCATTTTATCCAAATCCTCCCCATACCAGATAAATTAATTTATTACAACATAGCACATTAGGAAAAATGAGATGAGAGTTTACGAACCAGTTGTCATCCAAAGCAGAGCTAGGGATCTTAGCTTCCAGAATATAAAACATGTCCAAGTGATGAGAGCAGATCAGTTGTTTGCAGGATAAAACTTTATCGGGAGCTTTAAAGCCCCAGACATTCCATTAACCAATGAGAGGAAGGGTCATTTTGATTTAAAAGAAGGGGGCGCCTTCTTAGTGCCTTTGGCTTTTGAAGTTTTGGATGATGGAGCTTACAAAGTTTTAGAAACTTCAAAAGCCATATCAAGAGGACTTTACGACTGATCTGTAAGTTCTTATTGTTGCAAAATATCAAATTTGTTAGGGGAGATGACCTGAGTCTTGGTGAAAAAAGAGCCCACAACCTTGTTTGGAAGATTATGAGCTATAGGTGGAATGACCAGAAAGGACAGGGGGCAATAAATGGGGGGAAGAAGGGCTGTTAGAAGAAGAAGCTTCTTAAGTGGGAGAATTTAAATTGAGAATAAGCAAACCTATGTTAGGTACCTCAGGAAAAGGGTTGCCAAGAGGGAAGAGAGCATGTAGGGTGGCCAGGGGAGGATGAGCTAGCATATAGGAGGAAGAGGAGATAGTGGGGGGAGGGTGAGGTAAGTCACCAATAAGATGGGAGGGGACAAGGGAAGGCACAAGAGGTAGAGGGGATTGGGCATCGATGGAGGAGGAGATAGGCGCTTTAGAAGGGGGAAGTGAACAGGCAGCAACAACGGAGGGGTTTGGGGTGTTGTGAGAAAGCAAAGATGGAGCAGGGTTATAATGGATAGTAGGGGAGGAGAGCTGGAGGGTTGAACTCTAGAGGTGCTTCTACCATGAAGTTGTTGGGGTAAAGGAGCTTTTGGCTAAGGGTTAAAATTACAAAGGTTTGATAGGTTAACAATAGAGCCATAGCCCGAGCAAGGAGTGGGCTTCCAATCATAATGAACTTTAAGATATACTTCATCTCTATCAAGAGAAATAGGAATCTCTTTTAGAATCGAGGAGGTACTAGAAGTTATGACACATACCTTGACAAAAGTGAGGCGGGTTTTCCTCGCAATGAGAGCATCCACCGCCAACGGGTAGCCAACAAAGCTATCAATCTTTGAGATCCCATGAGGGTTCCAAATAGCTAATGGAAGGTCCATAATCTTAATCCAAATGGGGATGGAGCTGAACTCATCTCATTTCGGTTTGAACTTAGGCCTCCACTTCTGGAGGATGAAGGGTCTACCGAAAAAGAATCAGGGTCCTACAATCTGTGCAACATCAAAGACTTCAGGAGCGGAGAACTTGAAGACGAAAAAACCATTATTCAATGATAACAGGTCAATCGAGCTTTCAGGAGACCATAACTTCTTAATGGCATTGAGGAAACTTAGATATGTAGGACGAGGGCCAATATAATATCCAACCAGAGATAAGCTACAATCAGGAGCACCAAAAGCTAGACCTTCCGCTAAAAAAGGAATTTTGGCGGTAGGAGGGTTAAAGGAGAGGGAAAACCTGTCAGCCACCGGTTCATGTTGGGTTAGGTTAGAGTGAAATTTAGGTTAGAAGGTGCAGAGATGAGAGGGCAGGATCTCCCGGGGGGCGGGAATCACTAAGGTAAGAAGTAGAAGACATAAAGAGAAAGAGGGTGAGGGGTGAGAAGCCCCCATATGGTGGCTAGAAGCTGAAAGGAGAGGTGACAGGACAAGAAGGAGCAAAATCCTAGCAGAGCTCCCGCACTTTTAAGTGCAGAAAAAAAATTGCACAATTCATTGTTGGAGATGAAAAACCACCTTCAAACAGAAAAAATCCTAATTTTTTTTGTCAGCGTGATTTCAGAATTGAAGATAATGCTTTGACTCTTTTTTTCAAAATATTTATCTGATCGGGCCGGCCACATCGGGTCGCATGGTAGTAAAAATCTTCACTTAATTGAATCATGTCTTTGAATCGTGCATTAGTAAAAATATTCACCTCGCAACAAAAAATAGTTTAATTCTAAAAATAGGTGCCGAGTAAATTCAGAGGACATCCAAAAATCAATAAAAATATGTCACATCACCCCAAAAATATACTAGGAGCTTAAGCGAATGGTAGTAGTCCCACTTAGGGGTGTAAACGAGTCGAGTATTTGCCTATCAAGCTTCGCTTGTTTAATCCTTAATGAGCTCATGCTCGAGCTCGAGATCGAGTTCGAGCTCGATAAGTGGGCTCGAGATCAACTTGTTTAGGAAATACCAAGCTCGAGCTCGACTCGAAAGCTCGAGCTCGTTTGAAAAGCTCGAGCTCGATTGAAAAATTGTAGCTACGAATAGTTTTTTTTTTTTTTTATAAAATAAGCTTTCATATATTATAAAAAAATAATATATATATATATATATATATATATATATACACCTTATTACGGTCTTCGAGATTGATAGACGGGACTGCACAACGCATTGGTTTGTATAGAGGCTTGTTAACAAGTCGAGTTCGAGCCTGCTGATGAGCCGGCTCGGCTCACTTACACCGCTAGTCCCACTCGAGCTACTTCCGGACTCCGCAGTAAATAATTTCTTGGCTACACAACTCTCCTTGGCCTATTGGTTGAGAGCTAAGGCTTCTAACTAAGAGGTCTAAGATTCGAGTAAGGTTCGAGTCTCTGTGTATGCGTTGTGTGTATGAATTTGCCATAAATAGCCTAAATGTCCCAAAAAAAAAAAAATTTTCTCTGCTTACGGACCCGCCTCTACCATCGTTACAGTACCCGCCCTTCGTCTCCTTTAAAAAACACGAAAACCCTTATCGTGCTTACTCCAGTCGACGCCGCTCAAGCCCCTCTTCTCCCAGCACAAGATGGCATCAGCCGAAGCTTGCCTTGGCTCAGTGGATCACTCACAGGTTTCTTCTCCTCTCCTACACACTCGGCCACCACTTGCTTTGATATTCTTCTTTATCTCTTACGGTTATCTCTGTCTACTATTTCGAATTTAAAGGAACGGGAGCCTTTTTGTCTTCTGACATGTTGACGGAATTTGACTTAATCCCTTTGCCTTCTTTGAGTCCATGCGACGAACAAGCCTTTTGTCTTCTCGTAATGAACCCTTCGCCTACCGTATCACGAATCCTCATGTTCGACCCTTTGTCTCTTAGGCAACGGAGCCGGATGCCGCCAGTTCAGGACATTACTTATTATTTTCTGCTTTCATGATTTTGAATTGATGAATGTTGCTTCTTGCTTTCAGTGTCATTTTCTTTTTTTTTTATCCCTCCTTGCTTCCTGCAAGGAATGCCTGTGGAGAGGATAATCATTATTTTAGAGCTGGCAGTGGAAAAATAAGCAAAACGATCTAGCACTTTTATATATGCTATTATTTTATCTTGTTATGTAACAATTTACTGCTCTTCAGCATGATTTGTCAAAACTAACACCTGAAGTCGAAACAGAAATCATGATCTCTTTTGGCAAGTCTATATGGCATTCAATTGCCCTGCTTAACCTCTGCGTTTGCTGATTATCTGTCTGTTGATCACCAATGGCAACTTTTTTCTTACGGTATGCATCACCAACTTCTGTTGCAAACGCTGAAGCCAGAAAAAATAGATTGTTGGTGCCCGTCTCACTTGGTGTTTGCAGAAAAGGAAATATCCCTCTCACGCGACCTGTGTATGCTGAAAGACGATGCAGAAGTTGTAGAAAGTTTTTGTGTGACGCTTCAAATGATTCTTTACAAAACCGCACATCTGAAATGTTTACAGGTGTAGCGAGAAGCACCAAGGAAGAGGCACAGCCAGTATTGGAGATGACTTCTGATTTTGAGAAGCAAAACAAGGGATACTCACTTTTGTTTAGAACGGAATTTGATGGGTTGGTCAAGGTGTTTGTGGGAGCCATTAAAATGAAATATACCGTTTGCATTGAAGTTCAATCCTTACCCCAATCTTTGACCAGTCATAATTTGATACTCTTCTGGGGCATGTTCAGATCTGATTCCTTGCCATTTCATGGTCCAGATTCCCACAGTTCAGTTTTACCTACAACGAAGTTCAAACCGGAAGCAAGTCAACATCTCATGAAGACACCATTTGTGCGGGACTCATGTAGGCACATTCTCGTGCTAGATTTTGATCAAAATGATGTCCCTTTTTACCTCTCATTCTTTCTTCAGTCTGATGGCACTGGCCAAGAACGAACGATAAGAACGCACAGAAAAACAAACTTCTGCGTGCCTGTTGGTTTAGGCCCAGGGTATCCTATGGCCTTGGGTGTTTCCTCATCCAATGATGGATTAGCCAACTTTTCTCTTTTTTCAAGGAACGCAAAGAGTGTAGTTTTGTGCTTCTACAAGAGCAAAACAAGTGAACCTTCTTTGGAAATTGATTTGGATCCATATGTTAATCACACTGGCGATATTTGGCATGTTTCAGTCCATAGTATCACAAATTATATCGGCTATGGTTATCGCTGTAAAGGAGATATTTCTTGGGATGGAGGAAGTAGTTCCAATGCTCATCATGTTCTTTTGGATCCATATGCTAAGTCGATTGGAAACCTTTCTTCTGATCAAGGTGAATCAGCATGTATGGTTAAGTGTCTTGGCTATCTACGGAAGGAACCTAATTTTGATTGGAACGGTGATACCCATCCACAAATACCAATGGAAAAGCTGATCATATACCGTTTAAATGTCAGACAGTTTACAAAGAGTGAATCTAGTGAATTGGCTATAAATGTTGCTGGAACTTTTGCTGGTGTAGTTAAGAAAGTGCAGCATTTGATAAATCTTGGAATTAATGCTGTGCTGTTAGAACCGGTTTTTTCCTTTGATAAGAAGAGAGGCCCTTATTTCCCTTATCACTTCTTTTCGCCAATGAGTATATATGGCGGTGTGGATGAAAGCATATCTTCTGTGTATTCCATGAAGGAAATGGTTAAGATACTGCATTCACATGGAATTGAAGTTCTCCTGGAAGTTGTTTTCACTCATACTTGTGAGGTGGGGGATTCCGATAGCCAAATAATATCACTTCTTGGAATTGATAATCCGTCATACTATATTGTTGATGGAAATGTTCATTTAGAAAATTGCAGTGCATTAAAATGCAATGACCCTATTGTTCAACAGATGATTTTAGATAGTCTCCATCATTGGGTGACTGAATTTCATGTTGATGGATTTTGTTTCATTAACTCTTCAAGCTTGCTTCAAGGTTCTAACGGTGACCATTTACCTCGCCCACCTCTAGTTGAAGATATTGCCTTTGACCCTTTGCTCTCGGAAACAAAGATCATATCAGATTGTTGGTCACCTATTGACATGTCATATAAATATGCCATTTTCCCACACTGGCAAAGGTGGGCTGAGATGAACTCAAAATATTTCCTTGATGTAAGAAACTTCTTAAGAGGTCAAGGGCTACTTAGTCATCTTGCCACCCGACTTTGTGGAAGTGGAGATATTTTCACAGCTTCTAGGGGACCTGCTTATTCATTTAACTATATCACAAAAAATGCTGGTCTTACTCTTGTTGATTTGGTCAGCTTCAGTGGTGCTGATCTTGCTTCAGAGTTGAGCTGGAACTGTGGTGTAGAAGGTCCCACTGAAAAAAATTCTGTCCTTGAAATAAGACTTAGACAAGTAAGGAACTTCTTGTTCATCTTATTTATTTCACTAGGTGTTCCTGTCATAAACATGGGAGATGAGTGTGGCTACTCTACTGGCGGGTTACCATTTTACGATAATAGGGTGCCTATTGATTGGAAAAGTCTTAGAACTGGATTTAGCATACAAATTACAAAGTTTGTTGCATTTCTTGCTTCACTCAGGAATCGAAGAAGTGATGTTTTCCAAAGGAAGATATTTTATAAAGCTGAAAATATAACCTGGTATGGAAGTAATCTATCTCTACCTAAATGGGAGGATCCATCCTGCAAGTTCCTTGCCATGGAGTTAAAGGCTGAAAAGGATGTCAAATCACGAAATTCATATAATGGAGACTTATTTATTACCATCAATGCTAGTGATCTCCCGGAACTGGTAACTTTGCCCGAATCATCAGCAGGATATGTCTGGTTTCGTCTGGTTGATACTTCTCTTCCTTATCCATATTTTTTCTCAAGTGATTCTAATCCAAATTCTCAAAAGAATGCAGGGTTATCTTCTTATGAACTAAAGCCACATACCTGTGCCTTATTTGAAGCAAAAATTTTCAATATTTGAGCTTCTATGGCCTTTAACTACTCTACTGTTCTTCAGTTTAGCGAGTAATTATATATTCTCTCAAAATTGCAAGATAATGACCCTATTTGATCTTTTCCTAATAACCCATTGGGCGTGTTCTTGTTATGGACGTATGGCCCAGTTGTAAGATTGTGGTGAAATAAGCTGTCTTTATGATTTGATTCTTTTCCACGTGGGTACCAGGTATGTATTTAGTAAAATGGTAGCCTGTACAAGTAATTTAGCTTCTCTGATGCCACTTGCTTATTTTTCTTTAACGACAACCAATAAGCATAATTTTTTACTTTGACATCTTTATCATTAGTGTTTTCAATTCTAGGGTTGATAAGTGTTACTCGAGCTGGGCTTATTCATTTCAGGAAGAAATACTTGCACCGACAGTCAGGAGGTAACTTTTTCAGGCCAATGTGGTTTTCCGTGTAGTTCTGGAAGTTTTTTTTCAGGGTGAATTTATTTATAATGTTTAATGACAAGAATTAAAATAATTAATTAGCGAGCCTCGTGGGATTATAGTGGATAATTTTTGTAAGAACTTGTGTAGTCATCGCTAATGGTCGTTTTTTTTCCTACTAGATGCTGTCACCACAACCGTTAAAATTTCTCCAGCAACTAATGTTTTTTCTCGATGCTTATTTCTTTAAGTTTTTTTTTTTAAACTCTCTTTTAATGATATTGAAATAAATGTCCATTATTCATTTCCTTTATAATATGTTCATTTCATTATCCTTTATTAAAGACCATACTTAATTTAGCTCTAGTCAGTCAATTCAGCTACGAAGAAGTCTTGACCAGCTTATTCTTTGCAATATATATTATATATATATATGCATCTTCTATTCTATTCTCTATAGGCAAATGGAATGCTTTCTACATGCAACACTTTGAGACATCCCACGTTACGTTGTTATTGGAATTGGAATTCAAATTGTGACCATAGACCCAATCTAAGCCCAAATAGGTTGATTATGGTTTAATCAAAAGCTTGTTTAAACATCAAGTGATTTTTTTTTTTTTGAACATTTAGGAACACTACCGTTGTTAGGTCCCAAGTCCTACATGAGAAATGTAGAGGGTTGTATTAGGTAGTCGACAGCCAGTGTAAAATTTGTCGAATAATCATGACATGAATCCTTAAAAATTATGTTAATGCTAGGGTGTCCCCTGAAAGTTACGCGCTGTATGACCTGAATATAGTGACAAGTGTGTAAGGGTCGCTGCACTAGCTCCCAGGTGCATTGTTAAATAGGCAAGAGTTCCACATTGAGGACAGATGTGGGTAAAGAAACTAGTCTATGAAACTAAAATTAGGATAGAAACTTGGATCATAGGCTCTCTTACAGGAAAATTAATGAAATTAACAGATATTATGATTCATAGAAAGATAAATATTATGTGCATTCATGAAATTCAATGGGTTAGAGAAAAAACCAAGGAGATTAATAATTTAGGATATAAATTATAGTATTCGGATATGAGTCGTATTAGAAATGGTGTAGATGTGATTATAGATAAGAGTTTGAATGATAATGTTATAAAAATTAACAAAATTAGAGATAGAATTATAGCTTTAAAAATTGTTGTTGATGCTAAGATTGTTAATATTATAAGTGTTTATGCTACTCAAGTAGGTTTAGATATGAGTTCAAAATTAAAATTTTGGAATGACTAAGAAGAATTAATACAAAATATACCTCTTGAAAAAAGTATTTTTATTGGAGGAGATTTAAATGGACATGTTGGTAAATAAGTAGATTTTAAAAGCATCCATAATAATCATGGGTTCGGAATGACAAATGAAGGTGGTAAGACTATATTAAATTTTTCTTTAGCTTATGACTTCTTAATATCTAATACCTTATTTAAGAAAAGAGATGAACATCGTATCACTTATAAAAATGAATATACTAAAACACAGATTTATTATTTCTTATAAGAAAATTAGATCGTTTAGATTGCAAAGATTGTAAAGTTATTCTGAGAGAAAAATTATATACCCAACATCGATTATTAGTTTTGGAGTTTAAGATAAATGACCAAAAAATAAAAAATAAGTAAAACGATTTTCTAGGATTAGATGGGGTATTTTAAGAAAATTAATAAAAGTATTTTTGTGAGTAAGATTTTAGATCTTAAAATTCTATTTGTGCATGAGGATGTTAATATTATGTGAGAAAAAGTGGTTGTGATATTAAAAATATTATAAAAGATGTGCTTCAAATTTTGAAAGGTAAAACTCCTTATAATACAAATAGTTGATGGTGGAATCCAAATGTGCAAGAAAATATAAAAAATAAAAAAATTTATTATAAAAATTGGTTTAGATCTAAAAATTTTGATGATTGAAAAAACTATAAAGAGGCTCATAAGAAATCTAAGAAAGCTATTTGTGATACAAAAATCTTAGCTTTTAATGATTTATATAATAAATTAGATACTAAATAGGGAGAAAGATATATATGCATAAATTAGCCAAACAAAGATATATGAGTAATAAAGATTTAGTTCAAGTGAAGTGTATTAAATATGGAGATAAAAAATTATTTTTCTTAGAAGACAATATTCAACAAAGGTGGATGAGGTATTTTGCTAAACATTTTAATGAAGAATGTGAAAATACGATTTACTTTAGTGACTTTATCACCCTAAATGAAAATAAAGATTTTTATTTTTATCAATATATAAGTAAAATCGAAGTTAGAGAGATTTTAAAGAAAATGAAATGTGAAAAAGCTATTGGACCTGATGATATTGCAATAGAGATGTGGAAATGCTTAGGAGAAGAAGAAATTTCTTAGCTCATTAAACTTTTTCAATATTATTTTGAAGACTAAAAAGATGTCAGATCAGTGGAGAATGAGTGTGTTAATTCATATTTTTAAGAATAAAGTTGATGCATAGAAGTGTGCAAATTATAGAGGAATTAAGTTAATGTGTCATACTTTAAAACTTTGGGAGCGAGTTATGGAGCGTAGGTTGTGACGTGATACTAATGTTTCTCAAAATCATTTTGGATTCATGCCGGGTAGGACTATTATGGAAGCCATACATTTATTGAGAGGTTTGATGGAGAAATATAGAGAGAATAAGAAGGATCTATATATGATATTTATTGATTTAGAGAAAGCATATGATGTTCTAATTGAAGTGCTATAGACAGTTCTTGAAAAGAAAGGAGTTAATAATTCTTATATTCAAATAATTAAAGATATTTATGTATGAGCTATTACTTGTATTCATACACAAGTTGGTTTGACCAAGTATTTTCCTATTTCGGTTGGATTATATCAAGGATCAGCATTAAGTCCATATCTTTTTGCTTTAGTCATGAATGTTCTCACTAGACATTTGCAAGAGAATGTACCTTGGTGTATACTTTTTGTTGATGATATTCTTCTTGTTGATAAGACTAGAGAGGGAGTTGAAGGTAAATTCGAATTATGGAGGTCAACTTTAGAGTCTAAAGGTTTTCGCTTGAGTATATCTAAAACTGAATATGTGGAGTGTAATTTTAGTAGCAATAATCCTAGTGATGGGATTGTGACTTTGGACGATCAAGTCATTAATAAGAGTACACATTTTAGATATATTGGATCTATTGTTCAGAGTGATGGTGAAATTGATGGGGATATTATCAGCAGAATTCAGGTTGGATGGTTGAAGTGGAGGAATGGATCAGGCTTATTGTGTGATAGAAAGGTCCCCCTCAAACTTAAGAAAAAATTCTATAAGATGGTGGTGAGACCTGTAATGCTTTATTGTGCCGAATGTTGGCCATTAAAAGAGAAGCATAATACTAAGTTAAGTGTTGCAGAGATGTGGATGCTTAGGTGGATGAGTGGCTTGACCCTTAGAGATAGGATAAGAAATGAGCATATACGTGAAAAGGTTGGAGTATCTCCAATGAAAGATAAGATTAGAGAGAGTCTCCTTAGATGGTTTGGTCACATTAAACAGAGGCCTTCCGATAACCCAGTTAGGAAAGTTGAGGTATTAGATTTAACTTATGTTAAGAAAGGTAGAGGTAGACCTAAAAAGACTGTTAAAAAAATATTAGAAATGATATTTCTTTATTAGATTTAAATGAGAATTTGACTTTTAACCTGACATAATGATGAAAAAAAAAGATTCATATAGCCGACCCCACGTAGTAGAACTTTTATTACGTCTGGTGTAAGGACGTAGAAGAACATCCGGTTGGAGGCAAAATCCTGCCAAAAAACTCGGTATTTGCTTGGTACAACTAGGTATTATTTGATATTAACGAGGAATACCTCTCTTTGAAGACCAATACCGAGTTATACCGAGCTGTACCGAGAAATACCGAGTTGTACTGAGTTTTTCTAGGAAAAACTCGGTACAACTTTTGTATAACTCGGTATTTCTCAATTTAGCTCGGTATAACTCGGTATTGGGTCTTCAAATGATGGTATTCCTCGTTATTGTTTGGTATTACTCGGTATTTGCTCGGTACAACTCATTTTTTGGCAGGATTTGGCCTCCGACCGGACGTTTCTCTGCGTCTGGTCGGAGGACGTAATAATTGTGGGATAAAGGCTTGATATTGTTGTTGTTGGAACATTTAGGCCAATTAAAACAAACTTGAAAGTTTTTTAGGGATGTTAAGCCTTTATAAATTAGCCCATGACTAATCAAGAGGGGGGTTGAATTGGTATAAAAAAATTTAAATATCAAAACACAATATTAAAATAAAAACCAATATTCACCACAAAGAAAATTAAAATGTGAAAATTAAATGTAGAAATAATAAAGGAAAGAACACATCAGATTTATAGTGGTTCGGTCAAACCTTGACCTACGTCCACTCCTCAGAGGCACCTTCCGAGTATTGTACTAAACTCAATGTCTCTCCTTTAGCCTCCACAGCTAGGCGGAGAAGCCTTTACAAAATTACTTACACCTTCCCTGGTGCGATGGAGTAGTCAGGTCCTTTCACACCAAAGAGATTTTTTTCTTCACAAAACTTTCCTCAAGACGAGCCTTGAATCCGATGGTACTAAGATGCAAGCTCGCTGGAGCAACCGTGTGGAACCCCCTCCACACTCCCTTGAAACCCCCTCTAATGATCTTCTCCCTCACTCAAATTCCACCATTTCCTCTCTCCCTTTCAAGCTCTCTCTTCAAGTTTTCTCTAGAAGAAACGAAGCCTCAATGGCTGCCAAAGACATATACTAAGTGCATTGTCAAAGTTTAAATAGAAGAGCTCGAAACAAGCTCATTAATTGCAACTTGTCAACTTTATCTTCCAGGACGATATGAATATCGTCCTGT